CTGCTGCATGATATATAATTGTAGGCATATCCCCTACATAGTCATCAGCCCTCTTAAGGACAAACATTTAGTTTGCCTCCAACTCTCTGCTAACACACAAAAAGTGTTTGAACGGAAAACCTCATACATGTCCTGACGTGGACTTGAGAAATAGTTTCATAGGGATTGATATCCAGAAAAGGGATTGTTAAATTATAGGCTAGTCAAGCACTTAATTTCAACACATACTGACACATTTCTCTCCAGAACAACCGCACAGCTTTACTCCTACCAGTTGAGCATGAGAGTTGTGTTTCCCCATGTCCTTGCTAATAACATGGTCCCTCTAGAATTTTTGCCATGCCAACAGATAAAATGTGCTACAGTGTTCCCTTTGGAATTCTTTGGCGACTGGTGACTTTAATAATCTCCTCACTTACTGGTAACTGCTTGCATTTCCCCTTCAGTGAATTGACTTCCCTCCTCTACGCCCATTTTTCTAATATGTATGGATAATGTAAACTCTGGGCTTCTCTGGTGGCTCAGAGGTAAAGAATCTGCCTGCAATGCAGGAGACCCAGGTTCAATCCCCTGGGAAGGTTCCCTGGAGGAGGGCATGGCGACCCAGTCTAGTACACTTGCCTAGAGAATCACATGGACAGGGGAATCCGGCAAGCTGCAGTCAATAGAGTCACACAGAGTTGGACGTGATTGAAATAACTAAGCAACACTAGCAGTATCAATTCTGAACATTACTGGTAATTCCTTCTGCTCTGTCATCCCTCTGCCAGCTTTTCCCAGTGAACTGAAATCCTTAATAATGATGTGTTAAAATCCACCTTTATCCTCATGCCTTCTGCATTGAAGATCTTATTTAAGAGTATTTTTTCCTACTCCAAACTTACTGTAGTATTTCCCTATACTCTTTCTATTAAGTTTATAGTTTTACTTTTGCAATTGTTCTTTAATTCCAGTCCAGTTCACCATATGTGTGGTATGATGTAGAGATTCAACATTTTTTTCTATATAGTAAGCTATTTTTATCACTAATTTCTGGTATAAGTCCATTCTTTCTTCAATGATTGGTGATGAAAATTTATCATATATTATATAGATTACTAGACAGGTAAGTAAATGTGTGTGAATGCGTGTGTATTCTATGCTGTTTACTCTGAATCACTGGGACTTCATCCTGTTTCTCTTATATATTCTTTATTATAACAGCTTTGTGTCAGGACTTAATATAAAGAAGGGTAACTAAACTCTCCAACTTACTTTGGTCTTCTTTAAAAAAGTTTAAAACTATTTTATACTTTAACCTTTCATGAAAATTCTAGATTCAATTGTTGAGTACATAAAAAGATCCTGTTAAGATGGGGGTGCAAAATGGGTAAAGGCGGTCAGATGATCCAAACTTCAGGTGTAAGATAAATCAGTTATGAAGATATAATGTACAACATGGTGACAAAGTTTCACAATATTATATCATATATCTGAAAGTTGCTAAGAGAGTAACTTTAACCTTAATTAGGTTAATTACTACCTTATACTTCCTCTGTGCTCAGACGCTTATTTGTGTCTGACTCTTGCGGCCCCACAGACTGTAGCCTACCAGGCTCCTCTCTCCATGGAATTCTCCAGGCAGTGATACTGGAGTGTGTTGCCATTTTCTGACTCAGGGATTGAACCCATGTTTCTGGAGTCTCCTACATTGGCAGGTGAATTCTTTACCAATAGCACCACCTTCCTATAGCTATTGTAACTTACACCTTTTATTTTCTAGACAATTATTGCTAGCAATTGCTGTTCACATCTTAGCTACTTTTTTATTTTGGCCTTGCTAATTGTCTTGCAGGGTCATCTTTTCCCCACCATGGATTGATTCCCGGCCAGCATGATGAAAGCACTGAATTCTAACCCTTGATTGCCAGGGAATCCTTAGTACTTTCTATTTTGTACTCAATTAACATAGATTAATGTTTTAAAATTTATGAAGCAAAATAGGAAAAGGAACACAAGTGAAAAGTTAGACTCTGTAGAAATAGGGCTATTTCTTCCTCTATAATAGGAAGAGTGACACAAAAAAGATGAAAATTACAGGAAAATGCAGTGGATTGAGTGAGGGGAGATGAACAGTTCATGTCTCAAATAGAAATAATCCTGATGGGTTTGAACCTCATCTCTTTAAGAAAGAATATATGTTTCTGTTAGAAAAGCCCCAGGAGAGTCATTGTGAGTCAGAGTTACTAGGGGAACAACCCTTTTAAGAAGAGTTATATAATATAAGAAGGAACAATCTAAACTCTAGACCAAATAAGAAAACAAAGATGCGAATGAAACCTACACAATATATTCTCCACCTACTTTCTCATCCATAAAATGACAAGACTGTACTGAATGATAACTAAATTTCCTTCTACCTAAGGGCTCTGAGACCAGATGGACCTTTGTTGGCAAAGTAATGTCTCTGCTTTTTATTTTTTATTTTTNGGAGAAGGGGACGACAGAGGATGAGATGGCTGGATGGCATCACTGACACGTGGGCATGAATTTGAGTAAACTCCGGGAGTTGGTGATGGACAGGGAGGCCTGGCGTGCTGCGATTCATGGGGTCGCAAAGAGTCGGGCATGACTGAGTGACTGAACTGAACTGAACTGAAGGGCTCTGAAAATATTCCTTATAAAAATGAAACAGTGGAAATGAAAAAAATAAATTTAAGTGTAAATTAATCTCTTCCACTGACTTTCTAATTCTATTGGTTTTTCTAGCAAAGAGGCTTTGAGAAGAATTATTCTTTGTGGGAACTCAAGAGGAATAAGTTTAGTACATACAACTGCACAAAGACAATTGAGAAGACTTTGGGAGAGGAACATGATTATTTTTATCGCTGTCATTGTAGTTGGTTACTGAACTGGCTCCTTCCCTTTCATCAGCTCTACACCCACTCTACTACTGAAGCTCTTTTCAACAGGGCCCATGCATGTTAAGAATTTTCTAGTTTGGGAAAACAGGAGGAAAAGGGGGAAATGAATCTCCTGGTGATGCATTGCTAAAGAAAACTTTTCTTTCAGACCCTTTGCTGTCAAATTTTTACTTCTAAAGTCACCTTCTGTTATTTAAACAAACATGAAATAAATTCCTTTCTTACTGAATCAGAATCTCTAGGAGCAGAGCCTGGAAATCTGTATTCTAATGAGTTCCCAGTTGATCTAACTTAGCAATCCCCAGCCTATTTGGCAGCAGGGTCCTGTTTCCTGGAAGACAAATTTTCCAGGAATGGGTTGGGAAGGATGGTTCATGCTGTAATGTGATCTGTGGGGAGTAATGGAGAGTAGTAGATGAAGTTTTTCTCTCTCATCTCCTGCTCTGTGGCCCTGTTCCTAAGAGGTCTTGGATCAAACTGGTTCATGGCACAGGAGGTAGGGACGACTCATCTAACTCATTGCCTCTCTGGCTTCAGACATTTGCATAACCTTTGCCATACTCACATTGTCCTTTTGCTATTGTTATCTCAAATAGTTCTAGGTTACCTTTAAAATTTTAGTCATCCTAAAAAATGTCCACTGAATCATAGTTTCGATGCATTATTTTCTAAAAATGTACATTAGAACATGTGACTATTTTAAAAATACATCGTGAACTAGCTGAAGGCAGCAACGGCTCCATTCCACGGATTCCAAGCTGTAAGTCTAGAAAGAATGAGTTGAGCTGCCTTCAGGCCCATGTGATTCAGACTTTGGCCCTCTTCCTTCAGGAGCCTCCTTCCTAGGCCTGGGCGCCCTCACTCAGCGCTTCGAAAAGCCCTTCGCTGCCAGGATCCATCCCCTTCCTTCCCCCAGGTACCCTCTCCTGTCACCCCAACCAAACTGGACTTTTATATCTGAACTTAGAACAGTATCACCAAGCAGGTTAATAAATGTTAAAACGTAATCTGCAGGTTTAACTCTTGATAGCAAAAGGCTTTGATTTCCAAGAATGGGATCCTCCTCAGATACATTCATACAGATATATCTATACAGCCCTTCGCATCAGCGCCTGAACCGGCACACGATTCTCCAGCTTCACTTCTTTTCGATCTTCCTCACTCGCTCTGCCTCAGCCACACTAGAACACACCTTACTTTCTCCCTCCTAATATACAAGCTCTTCCCACCTCAGCACCTTTGCACTTGCTGGATTTCTTTCCTCAGGGGCCACCTACACCTTCCTTGGCTTTCACTCAAAGTCCCTACTTTCGGAGAGGCAGCTCCTGACGAGCCCAGCCAAAGCTACACCAGTTCCCCACACCCCCACACCCTCCAGGCATCCTCTGTCACAGCACTTCTTAACCGAGGGTGACGTTGCCTCACAGGAGACGTTGGTAAGGTCTATAGACTTTTGCAGTTGTCACTACCTGGGGTCACACAAGTGCCCCCTAGTGGGCAGAGGTCGGGAATGCTAATAAATAGTCCCAGACGCCCAGCACAGCCCTCCTACTGTGGGGTGTGTGTGGGTATGGGTGCTTAGGCGCTCAGTTGTGTCTGCCTCTCTGTGACCCCATGGACTGTAGCTCGCCAGGCTCCTCTGTCCATAGAATTTTCCAGGCAAGAATACTGTAATGGGTTGCCATTACCTACTCCAGGGGATCTTCCCAGTCCAGGGATTGAATCCATGTCTCTTGAAACTCCTGCATTGGCAGGCAGATTTTTCACCACTAGCACCCTTTGTCAATCCCCCACAAATGGTTAGCTGGCCCCAAATGCCATGTTTGAAGAGTTCAGCTCGGCCGGTGTACCTGTTTTTTCCGTAGCATCATCAGTACCAGAACTGATGGTGCCACGTTTCCTTCCTACTGAATGGAGTTTCTCGCGAACTGCAGTTGAGGGTTGCTCTCTGCTCCATCCCCAGCACCTAGAGGAGTTCCAGGCACCTTGGCTCTCAACTCTGGTCCCACTTGCCCTTGTCCTGTGAAGCCCAGAGCTTCACAAGGAGTTGAAGATGCCCGGCCTCAAGTAAATGATGTAAATGAGAAAACAAGTCAGTTTCCAAAATGAAAACAGAAGTGTGTTTAATTAATGAGTGTACATATGAATGAAAGTTGTCATAAGGAGCCTCTCACACTTTCAGGTACCCATAAAATTATCTTCATAGCCATTAGTGAAAGCTTGGTTCATCTACTTTTTAAAGATGCATACCATTTTCTAAGTTCAAATATATGATTTTAATTATTAATACACCAGCCTCCTAATGCCCCAAGATCAACTGTATAAAATGTAAGCTCATCATCTCAAAAGATCAAAAGCAAGTCAGTATTTTCTATATGATTGATATATATACAGAAAATAATTTAGTATTAACTAAATACCTCCCCTTCCCTCTTTATAAATCATTCTTCCCCTTGTTTATAAAAAATTTTTCTACAGTATAATAGCCAAATTACCCAGTATAGACTTTTCCAAAACAGAAATGTAATTCAAAAAATTATAAAATGGACCATATACCAAGAGATTTGCAGCACTATTGAAATTATTTACTGAACACTAATGGTAGATCTCCTTCCTATCACTACAGACTCCACACAAACACACACAAAACCTTGCATTTTTGTAGTCTTTTTCACTTTTATCTTTCTCCCAAAAGTAAATGTCACTGGAATTACCACTGAACACCAATGTGTGTGTGGAAATTATTCTAATATGTGTAAAAAAAAATCAGCACAACATTGTAAATTAACTACACTTCATTTAAAAATATATTAAAAATTTAGGCATAAGGAAGGATTTATCATAATGTCATCCAAATATTACTGGTGTGAGGATTAGAACTCAAGTTCTGTCTCCAATTCTGAGTACCACCTGCTTTCTCCCATGCCCCAGGTCTTGTTTCACAGAATGCTACTGGGTATGCCAGCAGGCACTGTGCTTAGGGGTTTCAAACAAGTTTTGAAAATGCTGGATTAGTCTCAAACAACACTACTATATTTGCAAACACGCTTTTCCAAGGCAGAAAGCCTTTTTTGCTACTCTGCCCTCTTTTTTCCTTATATTTATTTCTGCTCTGCCACATTCTTAAGATTCCATCAGAGCCTGCCAGTTGTTTACATAAGCACCTAGAACTGCAGTACCAATGTAGCAGAAACAGTGTAAATCACATGGCAATGGATTTTCTTCCCCTGGTGTTTCTGTGGACCACTCACTTCCCTACCTTCTTCTAACTGCTAAAATACCATTCTGGTCCCCAGGAAGGCACTTAATGCCTTCTATTTCCAGAGCCCTGAGAAACCAGACCTACCTATAATGGCAAAATCACACTCACTTTTATTTTCCCAGTGGGTAAATAAAAACCAGCACACTCCCATGATTTGAAACCCTTAACTTACTTAGGAATCTAACATTTGGGGTCACTTAAATAGAAAAAAGAATCACGAGATGCTTTCATGTTAAGTCATTTAGTCCCAAGTTGGGTTTGCTGATTTTGTTGTATTCATTTCTTGACGGTTTGTTAACCAAAGTAGAAGTGTGTTATCTGTCTTCTCAATGAGAATTCTTGATGGATAACAGGATTCAAAGGGTCTAAAGAGAATGTACAATTCTAAAGAGTACATTTCATGTTTTGGAGAGGGCTCTCCAATGACCAGAAAGACTGAGCCACTTTTAGTATAAAAAATTAGGACTGTGTGACAGAGGTTGACTGTGCACAGATGAGCTAGACTCACTCTACCCAGTGTCCCTGACTCCTTGGAATGCCACTGGAAACTGACCAAGAAACTGTCCTACTGCTTGAAAGGACTCTGACATGGTGATATCTGGTCACTGTCTTCTACAGTCAAGGGCATAACACCTTAGAAGGCCACCAGATCTCAACCCGTGACTTAGAGAGTTTCATCCATAACGTAGATATTGTCTTCTGCTCGGACAGGCTTCATGGTTGCATTTTTCAAAGCTCCAATCTGAGAATCTTTCAATGGAATCATACTGCAGAAAGAATAACACAAGTAAGAGAAAAGTACCACTTCTCAAGTATGAGCTGTATAGTTGTTTATGTTCAGGCGAGACTAGGTATTTGCATTTCCCAGATGCCAATTCCACAGCCTATGGAATGAAAGAAGCTTTCAGAGTTGTCAACATGAAGTTGCAGGAAAGTCTTAATAATGAGGTGGAAAATCTCAGCAGTTATTAAAATAAAATTTAAAAAAACCCTGAAATTGGTGTCTGTCAAGAGACGCATATCACAGAATAAAAAAATGAAAAATCTAAGAAGACTAATATCAGGCTTCAAATTAAAGTACACATTCTCAAACATGCACATTCTCAAAATGGTCAGGAACTGGTTTGGCTGGTGTTTTTCCAACTGTGAACTGAGACTATTTAGTGAGGGTCAAATTAAATCTATTTAGTCATCTATATCTTATATTTAAGGTGAATATATATATCTAAGTATACAAAATATTAGAGCTACTGGATATAATAAAATGGTATTGTTCCACATAAATCTGCACTGGATCATAGAGTCAAAAATCTTACCATGTCTTATGTGGAAAATTAGAAAGTCATGGGTTACCTGATTTTGTAACATGCACACTCATATATCAAGTATATGAAAAGGTCATTTGTGGAGTTTTGATATCACTGCATTTTTAGAATGCATATATAGTCACAATTTTTATTACCTAAGCCTTCCCAGAAATAATATATAATGCACTGAATTTTCATTAAACTCTGATCTTTAAATGAATTACTTATACATTTCTGGAAACAGTTTAAGTGTTGGTAGCTCAAGATAAGTCAATGTGATATAGCCCCTCTAAATATAAAATTATGAGGAAATTTTCCTTTTTGTTTTGTGTTGCTTGTCTATATTATACATTATTTTCTGCAATAAATATTTTCTTTTCTAATTATGAGATAAAAAGTGAACCTTAAAAAAAACCTTAACAGTGAAAGGACAAAAATGAATTAGCAGGATGCTATTTTTCATACTTTTCGGCCCATAGGGAGTATTTCTTTTCTTCCATTCTTGGAAGCAGATAGTCAAAAACTCCTAAAAGTCTGGGCTTGGGACTCTAAAGGACCTAAGATGGAATCTTTTACCTGCTGTGTGATGTGACCTTGGATGCCACTTAACATCTCTAAACTTATTTTCCAATTTGTAACCTGAGATTAATACAAGTGCCTGTCTCACAGGTTTATTGCTGTGAAGGGCATGCCTGCAATAAAAAGCCAGCATTTATGGAACATTTGCAATATGCTGGGGACTGTTCAAGGCATGTTCTGTGGACTGGCTCATGAGATTAACTCATACATAAGGAAGGCTGTATACAAACATCCAAAGAAGTGAAACTAGGAGTAATGGATGGCAGCCTAAGAGGGATGGATTTTATCAAAGACCTTGCTTAAAGTCTAAACTGGACCAGATGAAGCAGGTTCTTTGGATTTGGAAATTGGTAGTGGGTTCCCACCTTTACAGGTGTTTGGGAAAATGACTACAGGGATGCATACAAAGAGGATTTAACTTTCATTGGCCAGAGGGATAGATTTGCACAGCTGTAAATTCAAATGCCTATGAGGCCACACAGCTAATGTAACTGAGCAGAGCAGGCTGGGTGTGGAACAAAGGGCAAGGCTGCGAACTATGGAGGGTTGGAGGCACGGCCCCACCTGCTGCCTTTGTGCATCTTCAGCCTGGAGCTGTCCTCCTCCAGATCTTTGCAGAGCTGCCTTCTGCTCCCTTGGGGCTCACTCACATAGTCTATTTTCTGTCTCTGTATTCCCCATGGTATTTCTCTGGAAGTTCTATACTGTTCCCTGCTTATTCATTTATATGTTTGTCTGTTCTGCTCATCTCTTCAGAGAATATAATAAGAATTCACTAAACAAGGCACTGAATGAAGTCAAATAACAAACCAAACAACTCATTCAAATGGCCCATCAAACAAAATGCAATTTAGTCTCTTGTTTTAACAGGTTAGAAGTGCTGTTCTGTAGCAATTCTGGCACAATTTCAGGGAAATAGAGATGCTAAAATCATCACTGTTAAGGTCGGACAGCAGTGGAGGTACTCAATAAACTGGATTTTTCAGAATCCCAGAGTATAAAATGGAGAGCTCAGAAGAAAAAGAGGAGAGGAACAAAGAAAGCTTCCGCATTTTTACCCGAGTAAGAACATCAAAAGACATTGACAAAAAATCTTTCAAACTTACCGTAGTAGCCTCATCTTGTTACCCAGGCAAAGAGATTCTAAATTGTGGGAAAATGAAGAGAAAATTAAGTTTCTAAGCCAAAGAGTTCATGAGATTTTTTTTAAAAAAATCAAATAAGCATATTTTTTCTGTTATTACTTTAATATGAACAAAATCTGTATGGACATCAGAGCCTAAAAAAGTTAACTTAACAGAAAGAATGTTTTAAAAAAGAAGGAAACAAATCAATCTGGACCCTTCTCTGATAACTCCAGGTTAACTTTTCTTGAATCTCTAGGAGTCAAATAAGCCCCTTGGTATAAAGTATCTTGTGTTTATTATGATTAGTATATTCATCCATATGCCCTAGCTTACTTTAATACAATCATATTTCAGTGTAATTAAGATGAAAGATTGTTTTCTCCCATAGATGACAGGTTTTGTTCACACACACACACACACACACACACACACACACACACACACACACAGAACTGGTGGAAGGAGACCAGGAGGCGCTGGATGACTCTTGTGAAGCCCTTTGTTCTCCTCCTAGCTCTGAAATCGTGTACCCTCCCAAAGTCTCATGAGCTTCTTCTGTTAAGTGGGTGCTGTAAAACCCTCAACAATTTTACCTCCTATAAGGACAGAAATTGGTTCTGGAGAGAATGAGAAAAAGAGGAGTGAATAGATCTTATATATTATACTGGTTTTTGACTTCCAAATCCCAACTCTACCCAACCAATGCTAACTCTCCATATTTAATTTCTCCTATGGAGAATTTAAATATAATGTTTCTCTTTATGGGAAAATAGTTTTAAGATTAAAAAGGAACAAGGAAATAATCAAGGAAGTTGTGTGAAATTGAAATCATGTGAGATGTAGGACTACAGGCAGCTTATCTCAAGAATACCCCCGTGGGCACAGTCCTGAGATTACTTACTTTTGCTAATCATGAATACCAAAATCATGAGCAATAATACCAAGGCAATAACAGAGATTCCAATGTAGATTCCCTTATTGGCGATCATCCATGGATAATGTGCCAGCACCATAGGTTAATGAAACATCAGCAGATCAAAAAAAAACAAAAAACAAAAAATCTTGTTAGAATTATGGATAGAAAACATTTTTGAAAATATTGTACCCAGACACATTTATCTTTATTAATATTTGGTTAGTTCTGGATCATGAGGGGTGAAACCAAATGATCTGAATTTATAATCATATGGGGAAATTCTAAGACAGCTTAAAATTCAAAATGTATTTGGAAATGGTAGAAATGTTGTATATCTTTCTTGGGGTAGTATTTACAGGTGTGTATACATTTGACAAAACTCAAACTATAAGCTCAAATGAGTCTGCTTTACTATATGTAAATTACATATATTTTTAAAAATTAATAAGGTATTTTCATATATAATCCTCTTATGGTATTATAAAAGAAAACAATTTTTGTTCATATATAAGTTAATATGGTGGTATTACATTTATGTGCTCAGTTATTGAATTTGGCCTTTTGTTAGAGAACTCTTTTTTTTTTTTTAAACTAGAATTCAAGATTCTATATATTTCTTTATAAGTAGACTTGAAGTAGCTGCTCGTATACATGGTGCTGCTTAACAATTAAAATTCTGTACAATTGGAAAAAATACAGTTTTATTTAAGCCTCCTGGTGTGCCTTATAAGGAATCACCTCTTGTGGTAAACCCCAAAATACACCAGGGTCATGTCTGACCCTTTACATAACTTAACTCTAATCCTAAAGATGTCCTGCAGGGGAGGTATCTTAACAGAGAAAAAGTGGAAGAGCAGAGAAAAAGATTAAGTCTGAAGTTTCTTCCTGCATTAGAGTTTAAACTCTGGAGCCAGAATTTCAGCTTAACTTGACTTAGCTGCTGTGTGACACTAGACAAGCTATTTAACCCCTTTGAACCTCTGTTTCTCTGTCATTAGCAGATTAAATAAGGTTCTTGGGAAAGGTACATTATGTAGTTCCTGACGAACAAAATGAGGAATCCAGAGAGTGGCTTAGCCTCTGAGCGATCCTTGCTTAAAGGGGGAACGGCCAGTGTCTTGGGAGGAAAAAGCTGGGTTATCACCTTACATGTTGGGTGTAAAGTGGTTGGATGGAAAATGGGATGATAGGAAGCAGGCTTTGCTTCATTTTAAAAAATATTACATTATATAAACTCTTCAGGTTCATTTTAGAATATGCGGCTCAGCATAAAGAGAGGAAAACAAAAATCAATCATAATTCCAACGTCCAGAAAAGTCATTATCACCATTTTTCATTAAATATACTCCTCTAGAATTTTATTTCTCCAATATTTCTATTAACAGAAACAGTGACCATATTCAGTATATGCTACAGCATATGCAGTATTTCATTTATTTTTTTTTTTGGTGTGTGTGTATATTTTTTTTTTTTTGGTGTGTGTATATATATATATATATATATATATATTTGGCCATATCACAGAGCATGTGGGGTTTAAGTACCCCAACCAGGGGTCACCACAAGATTTTAATCACTCTCATGGTGACCATGTGACGTCTATATAAAAAGCATGGAGTCTTAACCACTGGACCATCAAAGAAGTCCCTACACTATTTTAAAAATTATTTTTTTCACTTAACAATTGATACTGTTTTCTCATGTCAGTAAATACACTGCAGTGACATTGTTAATGGGCATAAGTGGGCATGCTTAATTGACTAAGTAATTAATCTCGTTATTGAACATTTAGGTTGTTTATAACATTTCCATGATTATAAATAGCAGCAATGAACATCTTTTCTTATACATCTTCACATATTTGCTCAGTTCTCTCCTTAAGGGAGAGTTCAGGAAGTGGATTTACTACTGGGACAGAATATATGCTGCATGGTTTTCAGGATACCTGGGAGACACTATGACACCTTCAAGAGTCAAGACACAAAAAAGCCCATGATTTTGCCACTGCCTGTTGTGAACTCGCTTCTGTATTGCTTGTTGGTTGTTGCTGTGGTTCAGTTACTAAGTCGAGTCCAATTCTTCTGCAACCTCATGGACTATACCTGCCAGGCTTTTCTGTCCAAGGAATTTCCCAGGCAAGAATACTGGAGTGGGTTGCTTCTTCCTTCTCCAGCGGATCTTCCCACGTCAAACCCACATCTCCCACATTGGCAGGAGGGTTCTTTACCACTGAGCCACCAGGGAAGCCCAGATATAGCTTTTACTTTCTGCTAGACATACCTGTCTGGCAGGTAAGAATAATTTCATCATTTAGGATATTTGTTTCTGTTTTAAATCCAGCATAATCTGACTATATAACAATACAACAGTCACTTACATGGTGGAAGTTCTGCTATTTAACAGGCACAAGCAAATTCTGTCCATATCCATCAGATCAGTCAGTACCCATACCATGAGAGTGATTAAAATCTTGCGGTGGTGTTCTCTGTCACTAAGGTATGCAGCATAGGCCATTTGACCTCATACTAAATAACCCCATTTTCTGGAGCTGGACTTCCTCTTAACAATGGCCTAGCTGCAATTACCCACCACTTATGATCACGATTACTTTCATACCTAAACTCTTTTTGTTCATTGCTTCTAAGAGTTGTTTGTACACAATAAAAAGAAAGTTGTACCGCCCAAGGGAGCCAAAAGAAAACGTCCTATTAATAAATTCTTCAAAGAATTCTTCAAAGATGAGGCTTTGATGAACTTCATGAGACTAGAACTCCTTAGATTTTTCTCTCAAGCTAACTGTGAAAATGTGTGAGAACATCCTACAGAATCATAAAGTTGTTCAAGACCTTAGGGTCTTAATAAGTCATCATATGGGGAGGATTATACATGGAAAAACTTAGCAGTGGCCTCAAAATTTCTTCCTAGAAGGACAATTAACTTGGAAAAAAATATTAGAGGCATATATTTAAGCAAGCACACTTTTATTGGCATAAAATTTTGGGTTGGGATTGCCCCCATTCCACCACATCATTTCAAGGCATGTTATTTCTCTAACAAGGATCACAATCTTCCTTGGTAATAATGTTACTCACTATCCTTGAATTAATTCATTCTTTTTTCCCTGATTTTCTGGCCAGGAGAAAGTCTGTAGAGGGTGTGTATATGTGTGTGTGTGTAGAGTACAATACCGCTTTTCAGGTGTTTCTAACAAACTAGTGCATCTATATAAACTTTTTAAAATTAATTAAAGCCTCTCTGGGCTTCCCAGGTGGCTCAGTGCTAAAGAACCTGCTTGCCAATGCAGGAGACTCAAAAGATGCGGCTTTAATCCCTGGGTCAGAAAAATTCCCTTGAGGAGGAAATGGCAACCCACTCTAGGGGGTTGCTTGAGCAATCCCATTGACAGAGGAGCCTGGAAAGTTATAGTCCATGGGGTTGCAAAGAATCAGACATGACCCAGTGACTGAGCACAAAGTATCCCTATTTAAGAGTCAGATTAATTTTTTACTTTGTTTTATGGATTACAAAGAATCAATCTGTGGACTAATCTAGTCTTACAATAATAATCTCTAAATGTAACTTGCTTCTAGGGAGACATACAAGTGAACCCAGCTAAAAAAATAGAAAGGAATATGCTTACAGTTTGAATGTTACAACAAACAGCACTTGGAAAATGTATCACAGTGGCATTTCCACCTGCTAAACAATAAGGAAAATTAATTAGAATTATAAAGAAATATTAAATTTTCACTGCAAACACTAATATATTCACATTGCCATCTGGTAATGAATGAGAAAAGTTGAATAATCATATGGCCAGATACTGTAGGCACTACAGGAGTTATACCAAGTCAATGACATTTACTAATTTAACCTGCAACCTGTGCTTCTTAACCATTTTATCATGGTCCCTTCCAAAATGAAACCCTTTTTGTCTCTGTGGGAAAAGGTGCAGGTTCACAGAAAGTTTACCTACAATTTCAAGGAGTCGGAGTGGCCCATTCTCAGAGCTAGGTTAAAAATTACCATTTAAGGTAGGTAGTCAGATTTTTCACAACAGCTAAGAAACTGCCAATGAGTGCTCAGAAGCCACTGCATACCAAAGAACAGAACTGCCCTGTGCAAATGGATGATATGTTGGTTTTACATTTAAAATATTAGTGAAATGCACTAAGATATCCCAAACAGGTGGCTTCCAACTCCTACATTATGTGACAATGTGCCCAGATATTGATCCAAAAGTGCTATAAAAAACATGTACATCAGCCCCCAAGGCAAATATAGTGTATATATAGTGTGTACACAAATATAACATACTATCCTGTAATATAATGTGTTTTTATATTAAAGTTTTAGGTAGTATCCATATACATAGTATGTCTTAAAATTTTGAATATTCAGATTTTAATAGTATTTTGAAATATCTCTTTTGTCACACAGAACATATACTGTTGACCCTCCTAAGCAACTATAGGCCAAATACAGAATTCTCTCTTTACTGAGTATCTATTCTATACCAAGCACTCTACAGAATGGGTGATGTTGTAAAAACACCAAGGATTTGAGTCAGATAAAATTTGACTTCAGTGTTGACAATGTCCCTTACCAAAGTGACCTTGATTAAGGTCCTTTACATATACATTTACATATGTATGCATGGAAATGTATAATTTTCTAACTTGGGTAACCTTGAACTGCAAGCTGTTGATAGCACCTGTTTCAGAGTATAGTCACATTAGATGATTCATGTAAGGTGCTAAGCAGCATATTAGAAAAATATCAACTATACTATCTATACTATTATGTTGTTATATAATAATAGGAGCAATGGAGCAGGGGACACCATGCAATGAACTTTCCAAATATCATGTCCTTCATGCCTTACAAACATGCAGTGAGGAATGAAACCACTTGCCCATGGGCATGCAGCTTGAAGCTGCCATGGGTGGGCAGTTGAATTGGAAGCTGCTTGGCTCCAAAGCAGAACTAAAGGTCCTCCCCAGGCTGGCAATGGCAAGAAGTAAACCTGCCCTAGAAGAATTAAGTGAGATAATGTACAACATTTTACTGGCACATTTGTCTGCAAAGGTAGGTGATAGGCCATATGGTGACCAAAATTCCTTCTGGACTAACACCGTTTGCTTTTTGAGGCTTTAAGCCACTCAAGTGTGACTCGGCAGTGTGAGGATTTGGCCAGAGGGCCTCAGAGATGCTGCCAAGACAGCAGCAGTCACAGAAGTCGTGGGGACACAGTTGTTCCCATGTCTGTCCACACGGGCAACTCTACCTTGACCAGGTTTTAGTGACATATTTAAGAGAACAATTTCCCATTTCCTACTTCCTCTTAGCCTGGAAGTGCGGGGTGCAATTGCTCCAGATGCTCTTACCTGTATTTTAATCTGCTTTCTTTTTGTTTTTGTGCCTAGAAAGAGTTCACACCAAGGATTCCACTTTCCAAAGCAAATGTAACTATTAGCTAATCCCAATTTGAATTGGTCCCATTCTGAGTCCCACTGCATGTTCATTTTCAATTAAGAGTGTCTTTGAATGATTGGCAAAATGTAGGCCATACTGAGTGTCTGCTACAGATTAGCAACTCCTGAGCATGATGAGTGATATTCATGAGGAGTCTTGCAAAGCCTGACCTTGCTTGGATGCTTCACAGGTGCAAGGACACAGAAGCCAATTCTGCATTACAAAGGGGTTCACATGTGGCACTCCCCAAATTTACCACCATGGGTAACAGAGTTAGCTGGGAAAGATGACAGGACTCAGCATTACCTTTCTCCATCACAGGAAAGACAGACAAATCTTACATCCCAAAGAATATAGACCTGCCCAAATTAGGGAGAATGGGGGTACTTTAGGGGTGGAATAGCAGAATCTCAGAGGCGCATGCATCTTTGATGCTGGTGTCCATGTCCTCAACCCATCTCAAAGTGTCCACATGGAATGAAAGCTTGACAAGACAGCAGGGGAGACTCATGGCTCTGTGTAGTCTCTGGANACTTAAGAAGTGGTTAGCCTGGTTCCTGATGCAGGAAACAGAATAAATATTAATTTCACTGAAATTTTCTCCTCAAGTGTTGGATTAGGCCTCAGAATGGCTGAAGTGATCTCTATTCACAGCTCATTGTAAGGACAGATTCTCATTTACCTGACCTTGTTCTGGCATTTCTACTTTTCCCTCACAACAACATGTCAACTCAGCCAAGTCTGCCTTTCCTTAGATGTCCAAGATCAGTGGTCCAACTTTATTTGTATTAATGAATTCCTGTGAGAATGAGATAAAGAGTCACAAGTCCCCTTCATTCTGATATACTTGTACTTCCAAAAGGTGAATGTAATAAGTATAGCGATAGTGAGAGTCACTAAGTCATCTGACTCTTTGTGACCCTATGGACTATACAGTCCATGGAATTCTCCAGGCCAGAATACTGGGGTGGGTAGACTTTCCCTTCTCCAGGGCATCTTCCCAAACCAAAGATCGAACCCAGGTCTCCCACAGTGCAGGCAGATTCTTCACAGCTGAGCCATAAGGGAAGCTCAAGAAGACTGGAGTGGGTAGCCTAGCTCTTCTCCATCAGATCTTCCCAACCCAGGAATCGAACCACGGTCTCCTGCATTGCAGACAGATTCTTTACAAACTGAGCTATCAGGGGTAGGAGTTCAGAAACTCTAAAGTCAGATATGGAAGCCTATTAAAACTCCTTACCCTAGACTATACCTCAGCCTTAACACTGTGCCCAGGATGGTCTATATCCAATCCTTTAAAGGCTTCTGGGCTCAGAATCACAACTGTTTACCTGGCTTGGGGTCCTTTGTGGGAGTGGGCGTTGGAAGGGCAGAGGTCGAGGCTCCCGTTGTCATATGAGGATTCGTGACTACTATAGCAGTGCTCTCCCTTTCTGGAATAGTGGTGTTCCCTGTTGGAGTAGCGGTGTTGGCTGTTCTTGGAGTCTCGGTAGTACTGGTCCTTGTGCTTTCTGTAGTAATACTGGGGTTCACTGTTGTCGTAGGTGGAGCTAGAAAATCAACATGAGAGCAAGGATTCATCATACTGCAGGAAATAAGAGCCGGTGAATCAATGCAACCAGGGAGACTGTCCTCAGGCAGAAATGAACACTTATCTCCCATGAACCCAGAGTTCACATCATTGGTCAACTAGAATCTCTGACTGAGGGGTGAGTGAAGACATGGTCACAACAATAAAACAGCTGCATTGAAAGGATAAAATCTGGAGAGGTATGGATATAACAGCAATGATGCCTGGGATTTGTGCTGAACACTTTGTAAAAACTAGTCATGTATATTATATTTATGTATCTAAATAAACATCTGTGAGTAAGGGGAAAATGTCTAGATCCTGAAGCTGCATTTGTCTTCTCAGTGGTATATGACTAGGACCTAAATAGTAGCTCCTAAGAAACAGAATATTTACCAAAGAAATGCCATTCTATCAGTCAGCCTTATGAGTACCCTTCCAAAAGACCTGCATCCTAAATGCAGATTAATTCACACAAAAAGCATATGCTAGATAACACAGATGCATTATGCACTTGGTTAGAAGGTGGACTAGATGTTTTAAGGTTCCTTTCTACATGAGAGATAATAACCACAGGTAATAACTTTGGCGCTTTCCAGAACCAGAATGTAGGATTCCAAACCACTTATTGAAGTCCTCAGAGATACCCAGAGAAAGAACTGAAATTAGAAGTGAGCCAAAACACAGTGCCTGGCACAAGAGCAAAAGTTTAGGGTAGACTCAAGAATGTGGACCTTTTTTCTTAAGGGGCATCTATTTTGCCCACAAGCAGTATTCTCAATTTTCAACTCCACAAAATGTAAATTAGAACATCAAGTCTCTTGAATATGAGACAACTGCTGTGAAAACTAATTTGAGGGATTCAAGTCAGCTTAATTTGGAAACTAGTCAATTTGCCTATAAGAAGAAAAACTTTTTTTTCAACAAGAATTTAAGTACAAGGCATTAGTAAATATTTTAGCCTTTGGGGGCCCTGTGATCTCAGTGATAATTACTCAAATCTGTCAGTGTGAAAACAGTCATAGACAGTATAAAAACTGAGGCATATATACATATATATAATAGCTGAGGCTGTGTTTCAATAAAACTTTATAAAACTACTGTTGAACCTGCTTATAATCTGATATGGTCCTGGAGCTACAATTTGCCCTGGTCTAAGAGTATAGTCAAAAGTTTTGATGAAATGTTCAATCCTAATCCCCTCCATTCATTTTGAAATCAAATCTAGAAAAAAAGCGGAAGCAAGCAAAAAATTCTGACCAAAGGACTATAACAAGGAGGAAGTCTACTTGGCTTTTTAAACTGTCTTCCTTGGTGGTAAATATTTCCTGAGGAAGAAGCTAGGAAGCTAAGGGTAGAAGGAGATGCTGAGGAAGAGCCTTAACAGAAGGTTGAAAAGTAAGTTCTTCCTGTCAAAAGTGCAAGAAAACTTAAGCAAAGAATTGGATTGGAGGCAGAGAGTCACTTTGGCTCAGTTATGGACTGGTTTCCCTCTGGACAGGGCAGTGAATTTGTAAATATTCATCTCTTAAAGATTTCTGAGCACTACAAAATTTCCCTAATTTCCTTCTATGTCATTTAAAAATATATTCAGCTAGACCAATCATATAATATCACAACTCCAAAATGATCTCTTCAAAAGCTGTCTCTCTTCCACATGTCTCTATGGTCAGTCTCTCTAGGCTTCTGTTAATTGACTCTTAGATGCAGTTTCCTTAGAGTCAGCATTTTCTGCATCAGAATTGACCTTATTTCACTTGCCTTCATCAAGGATACAAGCAAAATACAAAGTTGGAAGACTGCAATATCAACTTCATTTAAAGCAAAAAAGAGACATAACTTATGTAGGACTGGGTATTGCGTTCTGTGTTGTGGGAGAACATTCATTAGGAAAAAGCGCCAGAAACCAGGAAATTCTAAAGAATCTTGTCCTTTCATCAAAAGGTAAGAAAAAGTAGGATGTCTACATCAAGATGGAACAATGTAAACTTCCCTGATTTTTTTATTTCACAAAACTCTTAAAGCTACCAGTGAACATTTATTGAGATGCAAGTGTTTTCTTATTGCAATAAGCCCATTTTAATTTTTAAAGAAGTAATTTAGTGATACGGTGTGAAATGTGCTTCAAAAAATCCAACACATGGCAGAGGGAGGAGGTGAAACTATATAGTATAACGGCTCATACAATGTTATGTGCAACAAGACTGAATTGGCCCCTGTTAAAGCCAAATTATATAAATACTTGGCCAGACATTATATCACCTACTTTACACATGTGCAATTCTCTGTAAGTCCTAAAATGTTAGGAAAGGGTATTTAAAATTTCTGTTAAGAAATAATCTCAGAGAAAAGGACAGTTCTTCAAGTGGAATAAATTCAGCTCCATAAAAATGTTTACTATATCTCAGTGTGGAACAGTGAATGCTCTTTCATGAACCAACTAACACTACTGAAGGACTGCGTTAGGGGATAGCTTTCTGACTGGGAAGTTCCTCTAGCCTATGGTCTTGAATCAAGGTTAGTGTTAACACTTCATTCTACACAAATATAATTATTTGTGTAGATAAAGTTATTTTATACCTAGAGTGATTAGAAAACAAGATTACAGGAAACTCTTTTTTCCCTATTAATAAAAGAAGAAGTTATATCAAACAAAAAACCATGGAAGCTCACAGCAAGTGATCAAAGTAAGTAGGAATACAAGCTCACGTGTCTTAATACACAACTCTAGGATTTTTTTTTATGTCATTGAACTACCCTCTCTTCTCAATACTGTAGCAATGCAAGCCACTGTCAAGAAGAACTGCACTCTCTGTGCTCAAAGAAACATTAATTTCACAAATATTTCCCTTTAGCTCATAATGTTTGGAGCAAGAAATATTTGGGGCATAACGAGGGACAAGAAAGGAAGAATAATGTATAATTTGCAGAGGAAAATTTCCACTGCCAACAATAATAACAAAAATAAAATCAGGAATTACTCTTTGATACTTTCTTAGAGAAAAATTCAAGGATGGCCATGAGGTATTACTCTGCCATATAGATATTTTATTATGATTAATAAATCTGCTCTAAATGATGATGTAGAGAGTTTAACAATAGACAGAATTATTTCACTTTTTATACTCTTAGAATTGCCCTAAAGCCTACAACTGTGCATGTTAAGAAGGGCACCCAGTTAAACCTGGGTTCATACCAGTGATATTAAATGTTTATGGACCAGAGCCTTGGAGCTGGCACTAACACACTCTCTTCACAAGAACAACAATGTGGATTTCCTGACCTTATTCAAGTTCCTAATTATCCATCTACACACCTTTCCAGAGAGATGCACATATTAACCAGCACAGAAAATAAGCTAAGAATATCCAAGTTCTTGAGGTTATATTAAGGCAAAGTACTGTCCAAAGTCTGAGTCTTGGTAAAGAGCCACAGAGCAATGTTCCTGGTACCCTGGTTCCTTCTGCAGTTGTGTTCTGGTCACTCCTTTCACAGGACTGATATCCTGTGTTATTTAACTCATCTTTCATTTCTCACCAAAAAACCTCACTGGGATTTCTCAGGGCTATGTTTCCTTTCTCCTTTCTTAAAATCTCTCCATTATTTTCTATCATACATCTCATCTCATCCGCAGAGTTGACCATTTGTCTCTTAAAAAGATTCTTATATCCCTTCCTCTGAGAGCACCGCAGAATTTCCAGGCAGGTTAGTGGTGCTGCCTGAACAAGAGCTCCCAAACCTGGACTTCCTTATTGCCTCTCATTGGTCTTTTTACTTGCTCACCATGAACTTCACATTTCAACATCACCTTTACTCTTGTTCTTAGCAGTCTTTGTTTTTTGTGGAATTTTTCATTTCTTTGTTTAGTCATTGCTTTTGGTAGTAGCATTTTGGTTTTTTCTTTTGTTTGTTTTTGCTTCCCCTAATGCTCAAATCTACAACAGGATGTGGCTCACTTTAGGAACTAAAAACAGGGCAACAAGAAAATCTGATGATCAGAGTCTTTATTCAACTGAAATCTGTGAAAGACCTTTTTTGCTTAACTTCTTTCTCTAGTTTGGGTCATTGTGGGCATCTTTCTTTTCTCCACTGCTCCTATGACTTAATTTTTGTTTATTTATTAAAAAAAATACATTTCATCTTAATCAGAAGATAATGTAGAAAAATGACTCTGATGAACTTATTTGTAGGCCAGCAATAGAGACACAGACATAGAGAAGAGATTTGTGGACACAGCGGGGGGAAGGAGCAGGTGGGCTCATGTGATTTTACATCCAACCAGTGCAGGTGGTTTAGGTGACCAGCACGGACAGGGTCACAGAGCAGAGAGAGGGGATGGATGTAAGGACAGATGCCCCTGCCATGGATCTTCTTCAGTGTTCTCCTCCTTTCTAACCTGTAAAGCTCAACTGTAGCCTCTGACTTCGAGGGAAATTATCAGGATACATGTAATACTCAGTGAGTTTTATCCACCCAGAGGTCCTATGGACAAATACACCAAGACTTTCTTTCTGAACCTCTGCTTTAAACAAAGGCCATAACTTGCTCATGTTCCTCAAACCAGGAGCACTAATCCATGCACTCAGTAAACAGAAACTATTAAGAAGTAAATCAATATTGAGAAAGTCAACAGACACTCTAGTGTGTTGCCTGGAAGGACACTTTCTTAAAAACAAACTTTCATGACTCAATTCCCAGTTTTAACCTAACCTCTCTTCTAAACTCAGTTCAATGACCAGTCCTTCAGATACCTCCTAGTTGAATACACACACAGTTCAGTGTGAGTGAAAGGAAATCAATGTGTTCCAACAGATGTGTTTGGCTAAGAGGTTGTGATATTTCTGTTACTTCTCAGATTCCAGAGTCACTTCAAAGTGTCAAACGGTTGGGGAGGCTTTGGGAATCTCCAAAGGCAAAAGCTATCTTTTTAATCCAAAAAATAGAAAATTTGATCATAAATGGGTCTTCTGAATGGCAAACTATTTCCCCACTCATAAGTCAAATTATTCTCCATTTGTATTAAACCTAAACTTTTACCTAACAGAAATCTGAAATATAAACTCTGGACCCTGAATTGAAAAAACAAATGTGTGCATTTTAAATCTCTTCAGTCCTTAAATCTGATGTTTACTTTATTACAGTATGAGTACATTTCCTGCTACATAAATATATTAAAGGGTGCTAGAAGCAAAACTGTGTAAGACATTGACACCCTGAAAAGACAGGGTAATTGTATAAAGGTGCTTCCAGTGAGGATGTCAGATCAGGACAAATTCATCCAAATACATGCTCTATGACCAGGATAGAATGCAGAGAGGCCCCAAAATTCAAATTAATGGGACAATCTAGACTCAACCATTTTCTATTCATATGATTCCCAACGATGAACTTAGACACTGTGTCTCAGTCCTCACAAACATAAAGTAGGATTGAGTCACACCTACAGTGCATAGGGTTATCATAAGAATTAGGTGGATTAATACTTAAGAAGTGGTTAGCCTGGTTCCTGATGCAGGAAACAGAATAAATATTAATTTCACTGAAATTTTCTCCTCAAGTGTTGGATTAGGCCTCAGAATGGCTGAAGTGATCTCTATTCACAGCTCATTGTAAGGACAGATTCTCATTTACCTGACCTTGTTCTGGCATTTCTACTTTTCCCTCACAACAACATGTCAACTCAGCCAAGTCTGCCTTTCCTTAGATGTCCAAGATCAGTGGTCCAACTTTATTTGTATTAATGAATTCCTGTGAGAATGAGATAAAGAGTCACAAGTCCCCTTCATTCTGATATACTTGTACTTCCAAAAGGTGAATGTAATAAGTATAGCGATAGTGAGAGTCACTAAGTCATCTGACTCTTTGTGACCCTATGGACTATACAGTCCATGGAATTCTCCAGGCCAGAATACTGGGGTGGGTAGACTTTCCCTTCTCCAGGGCATCTTCCCAAACCAAAGATCGAACCCAGGTCTCCCACAGTGCAGGCAGATTCTTCACAGCTGAGCCATAAGGGAAGCTCAAGAAGACTGGAGTGGGTAGCCTAGCTCTTCTCCATCAGATCTTCCCAACCCAGGAATCGAACCACGGTCTCCTGCATTGCAGACAGATTCTTTACAAACTGAGCTATCAGGGGTAGGAGTTCAGAAACTCTAAAGTCAGATATGGAAGCCTATTAAAACTCCTTACCCTAGACTATACCTCAGCCTTAACACTGTGCCCAGGATGGTCTATATCCAATCCTTTAAAGGCTTCTGGGCTCAGAATCACAACTGTTTACCTGGCTTGGGGTCCTTTGTGGGAGTGGGCGTTGGAAGGGCAGAGGTCGAGGCTCCCGTTGTCATATGAGGATTCGTGACTACTATAGCAGTGCTCTCCCTTTCTGGAATAGTGGTGTTCCCTGTTGGAGTAGCGGTGTTGGCTGTTCTCGGAGTCTCGGTAGTACTGGTCCTTGTGCTTTCCGTAGTAATACTGGGGTTCACTGTTGTCGTAGGTGGAGCTAGAAATCAACATGAGAGCAAGGATTCATCATACTGCAGGAAATAAGAGCCGGTGAATCAATGCAACCAGGGAGACTGTCCTCAGGCAGAAATGAACACTTATCTCCCATGAACCCGGAGTTCACATCATTGGTCAACTAGAATCTCTGACTGAGGGGTGAGTGAAGACATGGTCACAACAATAAAACAGCTGCATTGAAAGGATAAAATCTGGAGAGGTATGGATATAACAGCAATGATGCCTGGGATTTGTGCTGAACACTTTGTAAAAACTAGTCATGTATATTATATTTATGTATCTAAATAAACATCTGTGAGTAAGGGGAAAATGTCTAGATCCTGAAGCTGCATTTGTCTTCTCAGTGGTATATGACTAGGACCTAAATAGTAGCTCCTAAGAAACAGAATATTTACCAAAGAAATGCCATTCTATCAGTCAGCCTTATGAGTACCCTTCCAAAAGACCTGCATCCTAAATGCAGATTAATTCACACAAAAAGCATATGCTAGATAACACAGATGCATTATGCACTTAGTTAGAAGGAGGACTAGATGTTTTAAGGTTCCTTTCTACATGAGAGATAATAACCACAGGTAATAACTTTGGCGCTTTCCAGAATCAGAAATCCTGTAGGATTCCAAACCACTTATTGAAGTCCTCAGAGATACCCAGAGAAAGAACTGGAATTAGAAGTGAGCCAAAACACAGTGCCTGGCACAAAAGCAAAAGTTTAGAGTAGACTCAAGAATGTGGACTTTTTTTCTTGAGGGACATCTATTTTGCCTATAAGCAGTATTCTCAATTTTCAACTCTACAAAATATAAATTAGAACATCAAGTCTCTTGAATATGAGACAACTGCTGTGAAAACTCATTTGAAGGATTCAAGTCAGCTTAATATGGAAACTAGCCAATTTTGATCTCAAGAACAAAATCTTTTTTCAACAAGGATTTTTGTACAAGGCATTAGCAAGTNTTGGACTGCAAGGAGATCCAACCAGTCCATCCTAAAGGAGATCAGTCCTGGGTGTTCATTGGAAGGACTGATGTTGAAGCTGAAACTCCAATACTTCGGCCACCTGATGCAAAGAGCTGACTCATTGGAAAAGACCCTGATTCTGGGAAAGATTGAAGGCAGGAGGAGAAGGGGACGACAGAGGATGAGATGGTTGGATGGTATCAGCAACTCAATGGACATGGGTTTGGGTGAACTCTGGGAGTTGGTAATGGACAGGGAGGCCTGGTGTACTGCAGTTCATGGGGTTGCAAAGAGTCGGACACAACTGAGTGACTCATTTGACTAATTTAGTGATATGGTGTGAAATGTGCTTCATAAAATCCAAGACATGGCAGAAGGAGGGGATAAAACTCTATAGTATAAAGGCTCATACAATATATATGCAACAAGATTGAATTGACCCCTGTTAAAGCCAAATTATACAAATACTTGATCAGACATTATATTACCTATTTTATATGTGTGAAATTCTCTATAAGTCCTAAAATGTTAGGAAAGGACATTTAAAAATTCTTCTAAGAAATAATCTCAGAGGAAAGGGCAGTTCTTTAAGTGGAACAAATTCAGTTCCATAAAAATGTTCGCTATATCTCAGTGGAACAGTGAATGCTTTTTCATTAATCAATTAGCACTCCTAAAGCACTGTCTTAGAAGATATTTTGCTGACTGGGAAGTTTCTCTAGCCTATGGTCTTGAATCAAAGCTAGTGTTAACACTTCATTCTACACAAATACAAGTTATCCTATGAAGAGTTATTAGAAAACAAGATTATAGGAGCCTCTTCTTTCCCTATTCAAGGAAGAAGAGGTTAATATCAAATAGAAAACTCTTTATCTAGGGTAACCCACAGCAAGTGATCAAAGTAAGTAGGAAGACAAGCTCACCTGGCTTTACAGTCAACTTTATGATGTTTTTTTCATCATTGAAAAACCACCTCTTAATACGGCAACAATACAAGCCACTGTCAGAAGGGACTACATTCTCTATGGTCAAAGAAACATCCCTTCTACCGATATTTCCCTTGAGCTTATAACGTTCGTTCTTCCGTTCAGTGACTTTGTATTCCTCAGTACTGATAATGGTATTTCTGCAGTCTAACCAAGAACATTCCCCTCGGCCCCAGCACGTGGATGTGACTTTTCCTTTATAGGAGCAGGGTAGCCTGACAGACTGACCCTCCACTCCAATCACATGTAGGTAAGATGTTACACCATCTGTAAATAAAGAGAAACCAGAGCATGAGGTCTCAATATTTTAACTTTACTTTCAGTTTTTTCTTTATATAGCTTATTTGGTTTGAAATCATCTGACTAACATCTTGAGTTTTTAAAACTTAGGATAAGCATTTTTCTACATTCACAAATTCTTTAGCAGCATTATCATTTACTAGATATATTTCTAGATGAAATATCATATAAATGTTTTTCTGTATTCAGAATTACTTTCTAATGGGATAGATTTCTGAGAGAAAGTTTCAGGATAAAGGGCAGAAATATGTTCAATCTCTTGGTATTAAGACCAAATCTCTCTCCAAAAGGTTTGAAATAAATGGCATTACAGTAATACATGAATATGTGTGCAAATATCATATAAATGTTTTTCTGTATTCAGAATTACTTTCTAATGGGATAGATTTCTGAGAGAAAGTTTCAGGATAAAGGGCAGAAATATGTTCAATCTCTTGGTATTAAGACCAAATCTCTCTCCAAAAGGTTTGAAATAAATGGCATTACAGTAATACATGAATATGTGAGCATTTCTTTCTGTTTTTGACATGTATCTGCTTATTAAATAGGTAACATATACATGTTGCTTTTCTTCTCCCCTGATTGTCAGTATCTCAGTTGAAATCTCTTTAAAAACTCTTTTGTATTTTTAGTTTTGATTTTAAGTCTTTATTGCAAGTTTTTAAATAGCTCTTTCAAGAAAAACAAACAAACAAACAAAAATAAATAAATAAGTAGCTCTTTCAAATTAAATCTCCTCATAACCTTGCTCTTAATCAAATTTAAAAAAAAAAAGCAGAGATGGAGTTTTACTTAAAGCATCATTGGCTAGGAGGCCAAAGCTAAGCTGTTTAGAAATCAATTCTTAGGAAATTGAGTTTATAACACTGTTAGGAGAAACTGAGGCTTATCATGGGCTTAAGGATCAACCAGATAAATTCAAGCAGGGATCCCTTCTTGAGCAATGTATAAGGAAGCACAGTCCATTTACCCAGGTGAAACCAAAAAACTGGAGAACATTCAGTCAAATACTAAATGTTGCCTCTTAAAAAACAAACAAACAAAAACACCTCTCTCCTGAGTCAGTGGCTTAAAAATCCCTACATTGGCAAAAGAAGTCTGAGTGGTCCATAAAAGAACCTGAGTCTCATGACTAATCATAGGGCTGGGCTGTAAGTCTGGGAAATGCTCTGGGAATAAAACACTCATTGATACATAAAATAAGAGTCTAGCTTTTTCACTGGAATTCTGGTAATATTTAATTTTGCTTAGTATCATTTTTGCATTACAAAGGTAATACAGGCTAAATATAAAAATTTGTTCTAGAAGTATAATTTAAAAAATACATTTCCTCATATTCCCAACTCTAGAGATTGTTTTAAAATTTAGGATATGTGTATTCCTAAATTTCCCCCTGTCTCATAGAATATTTTTAATTAAAATATTTTATTTATTAAAAAAATTTTTTTTGGTCACACAGCATGGTCTGTGGGACCTCAATTACTCATTCAAGGATGGAACCCCTGCACCCTGCATTGGAAGCACAGAGTCTTAACAACTGGAAAAGTAGGGAAATTAAAATATTTTCTTTTTAACAGAAGTAGTTGCCCTCAGTTGAAAAAATCAAAAAGCACAGAATGGTACAGTAAAGGACTCTTTCCTTCCCCCCTCATCCCCATTTCTTCTTCTCATCCCCTTCTACACTGTGATAATAGCTGTTACTATTTCCTACCTACACATGAGCAGTTCATGCATATACAGCCATCTACCTACCCACCCCTCCATATTTTTTTTTTGTTTAAATACAAGCAGTGGCATAAACCATACTATACAGCGTCATGCCTTGTAACCCACTCACAGATTTTGTAAGTCTTACTATTTAAGCAATTTCTTTGGCTTAAGGCTTCAGCTTTGTTCTTTGCTCATTGGTGAAAGTAGGGAAATTAAAATATTTTCTTTTTAACAGAAGTAGTTGCCCTCAGTTGAAAAAATCAAAAAGCACAGAATGGTACAGTAAAGGACTCTTTCCTTCCGCCTTCATCCCTATTTCTTCTTCTCATCCCCTTCTACACTGTGATAACAGCTGTTACTGTTTCCTACCTACACATGAGCAGTTCATGCATATACAGCCATCTACCTACCCACCCCTCCATATTTTTTTTTGTTTAAATACAAGCAGTGGCATAAACCATACTGTACAGCATCATGCCTTGTAACCCACTCACAGATTTTGTAAGTCTTACTATTTAAGCAATTTCTTTGGCTTAAGGCTTCAGCTTTGTTCTTTGCTCATTGGTGACCCCATTACCTTCTGACAAAGCCCTAGAACACCTCCCCTGCCTCATCACTCACACGGCCCCTACACTCCCCCATCCTCAGGCTTCCAAAGCACAGCCCACCTGTTCACTTACCTATCAGAAGGAGTAGGAAGCCCAGGATGGCTACCCAAGGGTGCATGATGCTATTGTCCTGAAGGAAAGAGAGAGCAAACTGGTTAGTGTGTCTTGCAACCATGTAGTATCAGAATCAAAACAGTTAGGTGATGCTTTGGGGGCTCCAAGAAAGGATTAGCCAGAGGCGAAGTGATAAAGAAGTGATTTATGAGAATAGAATGCTTGTGAGGCATCGGATCTGGCAGGTGAGTGTTGTGCTGCCCCAAGTACGGAGTGGGTTACATTTTCATCATCAAAGGAGGATAGAGGAGGGGAGACGACCACCTTCTTTGTCTTTCTTTGGGTCTTCCATCACTAACTCCTCCTACAAGTTGGGTAGGGGAGTTTTGGGCCCTATATGGTGCATCTGGGACTGTCATGGAACTATGGAGAAATTATTTCAGGTCTCAGAACAGTGAGGGTCATTCACTTTGAAATGTCACCTTTCCATAAATTATTTGTGTGTGTGTGTGTGTGTGTGCAGAGAGCATGTCCTAGGGGTCATTATCTTGTTCACGTTACTGGGCAGGTTTTAGGCCCTATTTTCCACTATTGCTTTACAGTTTGAAGGCATGTCTCATGCTTCTGCTAAACGGATTTATGGCTAAGCGAGTTAGCTTGGATTTGTTGTTTGGCAAGCAGGTCTGGCTTTGATGCTGCTAAGTGACTTGCTCTGCTTTATGAGACAAGGAAGCCCACATTGTTTCAGGATTTTTCCATTTTTTTCTTGGGTGATCATTAACTTACAGAGGTCTCTCTTACTTTTTTCTTTACATATAATTACCTAATGGGATTAACTATTAAATCACTATCATGTCTCTTTACTTTGTCCCTGTGATTTCCTACTCCAGATGTTTACCGTTTTATGCTTAAAAGTGGGTAAGAGGTAACAATGAGTCATTAACTTCTTCCTTCTGAGATGGGATGTAGGCCTGCCTGGGGAAGTACTAAAACACCTGGCTGACTGTCTACAACTTTTCTGTTGAAGAATTATAAACCAATTAGTATCATCCTTTTAGTTCTCTTAGATGTTACGCTTTGGAGGATGGATTTACAAAAGATAAAAATGAAAAGAAATTAAGCATTAAAAGAGATTATAACCATGATTTGGTGATCCAAAACATTTTTCCAAAACAGTTTCTAAATCTGGAAAAGGGTCATTTAAGTCCTTAATCTGTTTGTTTTTTATTAGGCCCAGTATCTTAATATTTTATACTTCAGGGCTTATAAGTCTTCTATCTCTGTTAATCGGTTCTTTATTTTCTATTAATATCAGTTGGTGATAGAGTTGCTTCTTGTCCCTCAGGAAACAGAGTGGCCCCTAATTTAGTTAAGTCCCTTCCATTACAGAGATAGGACTTGCCTGGTGGCTCAATCATTAAGGAATCCACCTGTAATGCAGACCTGGGTTTGATCCCTGGGTTGGGAAGATCCCCTGGAGAAGGAAATGGCATCCCTCTCCAGTATTCTTGCTTGGGAAACCCCATGGACAGAGGAATCTGGCAAGGGTCATAGGGTTGCAAGAGTAAAACACAACTTAGCAATTAAACTGCCACACCATCTTCCATTAAAGAGATAGGACAATCAGGCACAAACAGAAAGGAATACAAAAACAACTGGCCATTGATGTTGTACAAAAGGGGTTTTAGGAAAGTGTACCTCTGTCTCTCTCCTGACACTTCCATTACATATTTCTTATGGTTGTTAAGATTTCTAACCCTTTAGGTTAAGACAGAGAAGGTTGCACCAGTATCTCTAAGAAATTCTACTAAGTGGCCTTCCACATCAATGACCACCTGAAGTTTGGCATTAGTTATGTAGATGGTCTCTCTAGGCAAAGTCACCTTTGGCTTCGGGCGACCTCAGTATTCTGATCATGAAACTGTCAATAGCCAAGGGCCCCCTGTCACTCACTGGCATCTGGGGCATTCTCTCTTTCAGTGTCCTGGATGTTTTCTAAAAGCTCATTGATCACAATCTTCGTTTCCCTTCTATTCACACCTGGCACATTGATTTTGGATACCCATCAGTCTTGCACAGTCAAATGACCCAGAAAGTCTGGCCTCCCTTTCATGGTCTGTGAGTGGACAGGGCCACTGCCATCACTGGGGCCTTTTGTGTATTTCTCTGGACGCAGTCAGCCTTTTCGGCCATATCCCTATTATTGAAAACCAAATAAGACAACTAGAGCAAATTGCTCAAAAGGTCTGAGGACCTCCTCCTTCCAGCAGTTGCTTTTTGAATTTTGCATCTGAAGTCTGGGGCAGACTGGGTTATGAAATGTATAGCCAAAAGGACCTGTCCCTCTGGAGAGGAGGGATCCACATTTGGGTACTATTTAAAAGCTTCCACTAATCTCCTTTGAAAAACTGCAGGATTTCCCTCTGGCCCCTGGCGGACTTCTTTCACTTTTTTCGTAATTGATGGGTTTCACTAAAAGCTTTTTCATACCCACTAATAAATAACTAATCCTATGGTCCTGCTTATTTCTATCATTACAATTCATCTGGTGACTCCAATGTGGATCTGCCTCAGGGAAAGCATTGTTTTCCACCTGATGTACTGCGTGGCCCTCTTGGGCCTGGGCCACCACTCGGTCAGCGTGGGCTCTGGCTGCCAGTACTGTGTGCTGTTCTTTCTTAGGAGGGTAGCGGTGGGATAAAATCTGTAAATCTCCCCAGGTGAGATTCCCCCCAGGTAAGCTTCTTTGTGAAAATTTCAGAGTCCTCAGAGAAACCTCTCAATTTATCCTCTGCCAGACTTAGATCAGACAGCAAAGAAAACAGGTTTGTTTCTTGATTTTTATGAGAAAGTTCTCTCAGAGGAAGACCCATAGGAGCAGTTGGTTGGTAACATATTGCTCTGGTATGCTCTCAGCCAGCTAGGCTGGGGTTGGGTCCCTTGGGTAACTTGGGGTACCTAGGAGCTCCTGTTAGTGGAGGTCATTCCTCAGCCCTGGGGGTGTTTTCCCCGGGGATAACAGCCTCTGCTAGAGCAAGGGCTCCTGCCTGTAAGATAGCTCCTGTTGCAGCAGCAAGGCGCACTCGAGCAGAAGTTAGCTATCCAAAAGTTTCCTTCCCATGTCAAAATCCACTGTGTAATTTAACCAAGATTTGTACTTACAACTTTAGATGTTGCTCCTTCCAAAGTGGTCTCCCAAGCAGATGTTACTCCCTGAGAAATTGCCGCAAAGGAATAGTCGAGAAGGTGTCCCAGTGGTGTTGACAGTGAGCAGACACTGGTCTTGCTGAAAATGGAAAATAAAGGATCAGCGCTTATAAGGGTTGGAGGGAGGGGAAGACTGACATCAGGGCTCAGGAAGTCCTCCCCTGGGCACTTCAAGTAATTAGGAGGAAGTAACTTTAGTCTTGGGCTTCCCTGGTAGCTTCAGCTGGTAAAGAATCCGCCTGCAATGCAGACGACACTGGTTTGATTCCTGGGTCAGGAAGTTCCCCTGGAAAAGGAATAGTCTACCCATCCATTAATCTTGGACTTCCCTGGTGACTCAGCTGGTAAAGAATCTGCCTGTAATGTGGGAGACCTTGTTTCCATCCCTGGGTTGGGAAGATCCCCTGGAGGAAGGCATGGCAACCCACGCCAGTATTCTTGCCTGGAGAATCCCCTGGACAGAGGAGTCTGGTGGGCTACAGTCCCCATTATCGCACAGAGTTGGACACAACTGGAGCGACTTAGCTTAAGTCTTGGAAAATGATTCCCATCAGTTTCCTTGTATATCATATACTTAAGAAAACTGATAAGAGGCCTTTCATCTAGGTTGGACACAGTCCTCTAAATGATAGTATGTATAATCCCCCAGTAATAGACTATGGGCATCTAGTCTCAATCCAAAGACCAGCTTAGAATCAGTGACCAGCTTCAGAAACAAGCTTAGAATACCTTCTTAATAACTCATTTAAGCTTTATAACAATATAACATAGCAACAAAGAACTATTTGAAAAGTTTCAGACAGTAGATACATACCTCAAGTAGCAAAACTAAAATGTTATACCTATCAAAACAATTTTTTCTCTAAAATTACCCTCATTTTTATCAAATATAGCCAAATTAAGAGTAATCTGTTCACAAAATAAGACTGCCAGATTGATCACATAGGCCTGTATAATTTTTTCAATAAGGCAGGTACCTTGATTGCTAAAAACAGTCAAAGTATATCTCAAGTGAAAAACACATTTTTAATCATTCTGTTTTCACCGTGAGGATACCAGTCTTGTAGCCAAAAAAGGCTTTAACCCATTAAATGAAGAATGGGGTTTGCCAGGGAGCCAGGAAAAGCCAAGTGGTCGTCTTGGATTTCCCACATTCCTGACTGTTTAATTTATAGCTTTTTAAAAATCTATCTTAATTTTTCTCATTTAGGAGCAGACAATAGTCATGCTTCAAGGACATCAGACTGGCAAAAGTCTGACAATAAGGGGTTAATTTTCTAGCTGACAAATTTTACAACAAATATAAAGTGAACTTACTAACTTTTAGAAAACACAGGTACAATAAAGTATTATTCTTAAGGTTGATGATGCTAAAAATATGTCTGCATTAATTAAAAAGTGTAAGTCTACAGACTTGAATTTTAACAGGGATACACACAGAATGTAGAAGAAAACTCTCAGAATTAGGAAGATGAGTATAGATTGCCAAATCCTGTCAGAAGCAACCCAAAAGGTAAAATTTCTTCCTCTTAACATATCACACCCCTTGTCACATGTACCAACCAAAAGATCCCTTTTACATCTCCAAATACACCTGCTACCTTTCTGTGAAAACCCATGTTGATTGCCACGGTTCCCCTGGTTCCCTGTCTTTACACATCGAATCATCATTTCTATAGTCTGTACCCAGTTGAAACCACTAGGTGGTGTTTCGGGCGCTCTGAGGAGCTCCTGTTCTCCAAATAGCACAGAAAGAATTCAGCCAGAGGCTGAAAAGGGATAAATAAGAAGTGATTCATAAGAACAGGATGCTTGTGAGACTCATAAGCTGACAGACGAGTGTTGTGCTGCACCGAATACTTAGTGGGAGACATTTTTATAATCAAAGGAGGAGAGAGGAGGGGAGAAGACCACCTTCTTCTTTATTCTTTGAGTCTTCCATCACTAACTCCTCTGTGAAGGAGAGAGAGTTTTAACCCTATACAGTGCATCCAGGACCGGCGTGGCAGTATGGAAAACTCATTTCAGGTCTCAGTACAATCAAGAGAGTCCACTTTGAAACGTCATCTTTCTAACTCTGGCAAATATCTTAATTTCTGCAAACCTCAGTTTCTTCTCCTTTATTATGAATGTAATAATAGAATCTTCCTCAAACATTTGGATGAGGCCTCACAACAAGATAATGCCCTCAAAAGCATCAGGCCCAGCCCTTTCCTATAAAAAGCACTCAGTAATCGTTTTTTATTATCAGTGACTCCCAGAATTACATAGATAGCCCAGAACTCTCCCTTATGAGATAATAACTATGAAAGCTTTGGTAGAGTGGCAAGTCCCTATTCAACACTTACACTGTATCATCATAGTAATGATAATTTGATCAGAGGGAGGTGCCAATCATCAGACACCAAACCCCACTTAGGCATCCATAAGTCCACTCAGCCCCACATTTCCAACTGCCTGCTAAACATCACCCAGGAGCACTTCAAACTCAAGATCATCCAAATTATTTTCACTTTTTCTCCCAGGGTTCTTTTACCAATGAACCCATCACATCAGCTAATCTCCCAAGTACAGAGACTCACTCATCCTTCCTTCTTACTCCAGCCACTAGGTCCTCACAATTCCAAGTCCTAATTTCTGACTCTGTCCCTTCTCTGCTGTTACTGCTGCCATTACTCTAGTTGAGACACTCCCCTCCTGTCTGGATTATAGCAGGAACCTCCTGGGGAGCCTCTCTGCATAGAGGCTTGTGGAAAGTGCAAGTGTTAGTCACTTAGTCTTGTCCAACTCCTTGGGACTCCATAGGCTGAAGCCCACCAGGCTCTGTCCATAGAATTTTGCCAGCAAGAATACTGGAGTGGGTACTGGAGTGGGTAGCCATTTCCTTCTCCAGGGGATCTTCCCGATCCAGGGTTCCAAACCGGGTCTCCCGCATTGCAGGCAGGTTGTTTACCATCCTCTCCCCTCCAGCATAGCTTCCATAGACTTTACAGGAGCAATTTTTCCAAAAACAGAACTGAAAATACCATTCCCTAATCCAAACACATGAATGGTTCCTTAGGACGCTGGAATGAAATCTAAATTCTTCAGCCCATCGATGAAGTCCTTTAAGAACCAAGGCCAGTCCTAGCTCCCTAGTCACCATTAGATTAAACTGGGCTCTTAATCAATCACTAAAGATTTCACACTCTTATCTGTCCCTTTATCTCTGTTCAGACTGTTCTCCCTATGTGTTCTCTCTGCTCAATGAAATGTTCTCATTCATGAAGAATCAATTCAAGGATCTCTGAGAGAAACATTCTGGCCCTCCTTTCCCATTTAGAACACTTCTCTCCCTTTTTTTGGGTCCCCAGGGAACTTTTTCATAACTCTGCCCCAAAGTAAATCCCTCAGGACGGTTGTTGGCTGTACACAGCCTGTCTCTAAACCCCTTTAAAGACAGACTTCAAGGCTTCCTCATTTGCGTATGTCTGGGCCCTGCACAGAGAAGCAACCAGTAAAGCCATGTTTAATGAATCATAGATTTGAAAGTCCTTTACCAAGTATCATGCAACCTATTTCCATGTATCCAAATGAAATGCCAAGATAAAGATATAAAAATCTCATCTCCAACCACTTTTCCCTCTGAGAATCCTTCGATTTGCTGGAAAAACCAGCTTGCTCTGGACAGTGAAGCTTGGGCTGGTTTTGTAAAACAGAGAGACACAGTAAGATAGCAAATGCTCCTAAAAGTCCCCCATTTCCACTCCCCCACCATCCAACCCTGGGACCAAGGAAAAACTACTGTAACAATCACAAAGAAAGGAAAATTTGATGATTACCAGAGCAGGTTTCACTTATTTCCAGTTTTCCTCTGTGGACAGCCAATTCCTCATGCGTATTTAAATTGTGGGATTTGAAATGATTTACTGCCTGGACTTCTTGCTGTTGATGAGCATAATGAGCTACCTTGGGTCTGAGAAAAACTGAAGCCTGATATTTGAGGAGCAAATAGGAAAATCTGCCCTCAGGGAGCTCCACTGAGAGAGAGTCTGCTAGTCCTGGGACAAAGGTTAACTATGTGGAATAAGAGAACTGGCCTCTAATCTGCAATCTCCCTAACTCACTGCAAGCCCTCTCTCAACTCGGTGACCTTTTCTGAGCCTCAATTTAGCATCATTTTCCCACTGACAACACCACCCCCAGGAGTCCCTAGACTCAAATTTAAAGCCTCTGAAACATGAGTATGAGTCTCAGCTTTCCCTCTGCTTTGCTGTGTGATCTTGGGAAAGTCACTCCACATCCCTGAGCTCCATTTAGGCAGCCACAGAGCGGAGGTGAGCATTTGCCAGCCTAGGTAGGGTTTCTTCAGATGGTGTCTGCAGACCAAACACCTTCAAAGCAGAGGAGGGCCCTGGAGCAGGAGATCCATACTTAGAGATGTCTCATAAAATAAATAATACAAATCAGGAAGCCCTTGCATGGCACACTTGACCACAGCTCTTTTTCAAGCAGAACTTGATTTCTGAGCCTAAATTATAGAGTGGTGTCTGCCTGTGCGCTAACTTGCTTCGGTCCTGTCCAAATCTCTGAGACTCTATGGACTTCTCTGTCCATGGGATTCTCCACACAAGAATACTGCAGTGGGGTTGGCATTTCCTGCTCCAGGGGATATTCCTGACCCAGGGATTGAACCCGCCTCTCTTAATATCTCCTGCAGGCAGGTTCTTACCACTAGTACTACCTGGGAAGCTCAAATTATAGAGCACAGGCCTCTAGATTGAGTCATGTGAATATTATAAAAAAACTGAGGGCTATCAGAAGATTAAAGATGTCCACCCAGAGAAACAAAACCCGTAACTAAGAGTTCTGTAGAGCCATGCAAAAAGGAGTCAGTGAAAACCTTTCAGAACCTCAAGTTTATTTTAATAGTGAGTCAAGAATGACTACCATGATGTTTTTTAAAAAGGTTTTTTCACTTCCTTAAGTGAAAGTAAGTTTGCCACTCATCACTGATTATCCCCTTGGTGTGATCAGCAGGAAAAACAAACAAACAAACAAAAAGCCATAAAACCAAAAAAATGTCTCTGTACTTGGAAGGAAGCTCTAGTCAAAGCTATGGTTTTTCCAGTAGTGTATGGATATGAGAGTTGGACTATAAAGAAAGCTGAGTGCCGAAGAATTGATGCTTTTGAACTGTGGTGTTGGAGAAGACTCTTGAGAGTCCCTTGGACTGCAAGGAGATCCAACCAGTCCATCCTAAAGGAAATCAGTCCTGAGTNAACAAAACCTAGAGAGAAACAAAACTGAGAGTTCTGTACAGCCACGTGAAAAGGAGTCAGTGGAGCTTTCAGAAACTCAGATTTATTCTAATAGTGAGTCAAGTATGACTACCGTTGAGTTTTGGTTTTTTAAAATTTTTGTCACTTCTCCAAGTTTGTAATTTTGCCACGCATCACGGCTATTCCCCTGGTGTGATGAACAGTGGAAAAAAACAATCATAAAACCAAAAAATGTCTCTGTACTTGGAAGGAACTAAGTCAGCTGGGATCTGGTAGATGTGGCCTCTTGCTCTCCAGGCAGCCTGCCCTGAGAATGAAGGTGCGTGAGTAGGAAAAGCAGCAGAGATGCAGTGAGGAGAGGGGATGGGAGGCCCGCATGAGGGCTCTCATTCAGCACCAGGGATTATGGACCAGTCTCTGTCCTCATGCATTTCCTAAGTCAACAGCCCTGTGAAACATGTACTATTATCTCCATGGTACATTTTGAGGAAAGAGATTTAGAAAAGCTTAGAACAAGAACTTGAGATTAAAAAAAAAAAAATAAGGCATACAAGGTGGAGCTGAGACTGACACTTCCCAGCAGAGGTCTTTTAACCTCCACTTAGTGCTACCAGAAGATTGGGAGGGAAAAGGACTAGAAAAAAAGGATTGGGGATATTATTGAGTTAGTAAAAGTGAGATTGAGGCATAAACACAGGGAATTTAATCTCAGGCCACTGGATTTTGTTTAGGAAATGACTTAGTCATGTGGGTCTCCTCATGCTGGCTTCAGGCTCCTGACTCAGTAGAGATGTTGGATCTGTAGGAAACAATTTGGGACCATTTCACACATCCTGCGACCAAATGAGAAATGAAATTAATCCTCAGGCTCAATGGAATGATCTGAGTTCCCATCTAACTGAGGTGTAAAACTTCATATTCCCGTAACAGACTGCATTTACCTGGGTCTAGGAAACCTATGAGAACGTAAATTGTATTGTTGTTATTGCTGTTTGTCTGTGTTTGAATTAGGTTCCTCATCATTTGGGGCTTTGCAGAATTCTTGGAGAATCTGATAAGAGTTCTAGACTTTTATACATACACAATTATATGTGTGTGTGTGTGTGTGTGTGTGTGAGTGTGTGTGTGTTTATGTTTAAAGTGGCCTTCAACCATCCACTTGCCACCGAAAAACTGAATGAAGAAACTAGGAAGGTATTGGGAATATTTAGCCAAAGCAAGAAAAATCCCACAGAGGCATGCGGGTTCTCTGAATAGGTTGAAAGCATTTTTATGCAAATGAAGTTTTATTCAATAAGTGGTTCCAGAGGGTAGATGGGGCAGGGGCACTGTGGCATGATGTCAGAATGGCACCAGAATCGAGCAGACATGAGTTAGATCAAGGTCTATCATCTACCAGACAAGCTGTATAACCCTCATGGATTCTAAAATGTAAGCGATATCTACTTCATAATATTTTGTCAAAAACCAAATGAGCTAATATATGTAAAATGTATAATGTTGAAACAATGACAGACTTCAGTGCATGTTAGCTTCTCTAATAAACTCTTTGACTCTCCATATCTTTACTTGTAAAGTGGGAATAATATTTGCACCTGGCTAGAAGGTCATTGTGAGATGTAAATAAGAGAATACATGTTAAAACCCTTATACAACAGCTAACACCTACCTAACTCCTCAGTATGGATTATAAATGCTTCATTACAAATACCATAGGGGAAAAAAAAGGTCAATGACAAAAATAGGATATTTTATTTCAGACTGGAAGATAAGGCAAAATAAAATAATATCTAAAAGTATGGAATCAGAGCAAGACTTCCTGGATCTGGCAACCAAGAGTTATGCAGTCTTGAGAAAGCTATGTCAAAAAGAGATAGAAGCATTGCTAAGAGGGATTGAATGACAATCCCTGAGAACAGTTGACCCCACACCAGCACATGATCTGTGCTCAGTAAACCCTGGTTGAGTAGATGTCACAAAGGGACCAAGAGACCTCCTCTTCAACAGTGCCACCTATGGGTATGGTCACAAGCGTTCTCTCTCCCAGGGTTTATCAAGTGAAACAAAATTAACAGGAGAAAAATGTTATAAAAGATATAAAATTTAAAAGCACACATTTCTTTGAACCTAGCATTTCTCCTTCTTGGTCATTGCCCTAGCTAGACAGACACTTGCTTAATCACTTAAAGAGATACCTACAAGGATGCTCAGTGCAGATGATTTAAGAATGAAACTTTGGAACAACTAAGTGCCCCTCAATGGGCAACGGATACTATAAGTATCCATAGTAAAAAAAAAAAAATGGCCTGTGTGAGGCAGCATGGCTGCCCGGTTGCTCAGTCTTATCTGACTCTTTGCAACGCCTTGGACTGTAGCCTGCTAGGCTCCTCTGTCCATGGGATTTTTCCCAGCAAGAATACTGGAAATGGCAACCCATTTTCTCCTCCAGGGGAGCTTCCTGACCCAGGGATCGAAACTGTGTCTCCTGTGTTTCCTGCATTGCATGCAGATTCCTTATTTCTGAGCCTCCAGGGAAGTACAGAAGACTACACAGCAAATTAACATAGTAATGAAGCTCTACATGGACCAATAAAGAACGTGGTCCAATGTTTAATGTTAGGTGAATAAACGTGCAGAAGGCTGAAAGTATATTTCAGAGCTTTACATATAATGCTGTATATTTCTACAACTCCATACATCAGGGACTAGAAAAGGATTTGAACAGTGATCACTTTCAACTAATATCAATCATTGATCTGAGGAGAAACTGAGATTAAATACAGGGAGTCAAAGAGTATGCTATTTCTACATTTAAAGAAGTTTATCTAACAAAAATACATTTTTGAACTGTCTGTATAATTTAAAATAAATTAGTAACATTTTGAAAGATGAATGTGGGTTTTTCCTACTAGCAGTCCTAGCTTTAGATCCCAAGACTGGTTTCAGAAATGAGGCAGAGAAGGGAAGGAGGCAGCGCTGATGCTTTTAGCCTGTTTCACTCTTATCCCAGCTTGCAGGAGGATGTAGGCCATGACCACAGAGCTACCCAAAGAGCAGAATCCTAGACAAGCAGGCAGGTGACAGACTGTTCCCATGGCCAAAGGCAAATCCCTCACAGCAGCACAGTCCCCTTATCTCCTGACTCAGAAGTCACCAAGTCATTCACTTCCTGCATCAAAGTCTGGGATTTCAACGAAGAACCCAAACTTTAGACACTGGGGGGAAAAAAGAAAAGGAGAAAACAAACTTAGGTAATGCCCATATTCCTATCTGGGGGGCCCCACAGTTGCCCTAAACTGGCTTCTGTCATAAAAAAAAAAAAAAAAGAAGAAGAGCAAAGGTTTACTGAGTAAACCTTTTATTTAGTGCATGGCAGACAGTGTTCTATGTGATCTACATGCACGGTCTCATATAATCCCCAGAAAGAGGTAAGGACTGGGGTTTCATTATTCCCATTTGACCAGTGAGGAAGCCAAGGCCCAGAGAGATTAAGGAACTTTGCCAAAGTCACAGCAGAGAAGAGGCATCATGCAGTGGACACCAGAACACACACATGAATTCTACTTCACTGCCCCCTACATTCCACTCTCACAAGCATTGATTTACTTACCTCATAGAAGTCTGTTTCCCTCTTCTTGAATAGAAG